CCAACAGATCTGGCTGTAGACTCAACTCAAGCATCCAACAGATCTGGTTGTAGACTCAACTCAAGCATCCAACAGATCTGGCTGTAGACTCAAGCATCCAACAGATCTGGCTGTAGACTCAACTCAAGCATCCAACAGATCTGGCTGTAGACTCAACTCAAGCATCCAACAGATCTGGCTGTAGACTCAAGCATCCAACAGATCTGGCTGTAGACTCAACTCAAGCATCCAACAGATCTGGCTGTAGACTCAACTCAAGCATCCAACAGATCTGGTTGTAGACTCAACTCAAGCATCCAACAGATCTGGCTGTAGACTCAAGCATCCAACAGATCTGGCTGTAGACTCAACTCAAGCATCCAACAGATCTGGCTGTAGACTCAACTCAAGCATCCAACAGATCTGGCTGTAGACTTAAGTCAAGCATCCAACAGATCTGGCTGTAGACTCAAGCATCCAACAGATCTGGCTGTAGACTCAAGCATCCAACAGATCTGGCTGTAGACTCAACTAAAGCATCCAACAGATCTGGCTGTAGACTCAACTCAAGCATCCAACAGATCTGGCTGTAGACTCAAGCATCCAACAGATCTGGCTGTAGACTCAACTCAAGCATCCAACAGATCCGGCTGTAGACTCAAGCATCCAACAGATCTGGCTGTAGACTCAACTCAAGCATCCAACAGATCCGGCTGTAGACTCAAGCATCCAACAGATCTGGCTGTAGACTCAACTCAAGCATCCAACAGATCTGGCTGTAGACTTAAGTCAAGCATCCAACAGATCTGGCTGTAGACTCAAGCATCCAACAGATCTGGCTGTAGACTCAAGCATCCAACAGATCTGGCTGTAGACTCAACTAAAGCATCCAACAGATCTGGCTGTAGACTCAACTCAAGCATCCAACAGATCTGGCTGTAGACTCAAGCATCCAACAGATCTGGCTGTAGACTCAACTCAAGCATCCAACAGATCCGGCTGTAGACTCAAGCATCCAACAGATCTGGCTGTAGACTCAACTCAAGCATCCAACAGATCCGGCTGTAGACTCAAGCATCCAACAGATCTGGCTGTAGACTCAACTCAAGCATCCAACAGATCTGGCTGTAGACTCAACTCAAGCATCCAACAGATCTGGCTGTAGACTCAACTCAAGCATCCAACAGATCCGGCTGTAGACTCAAGCATCCAACAGATCTGGCTGTAGACTCAACTCAAGCATCCAACAGATCTGGCTGTAGACTCAACTCAAGCATCCAACAGATCTGGCTGTAGACTCAAGCATCCAACAGATCTGGCTGTAGACTCAACTCAAGCATCCAACAGATCCGGCTGTAGACTCAAGCATCCAACAGATCTGGCTGTAGACTCAACTCAAGCATCCAACAGATCCGGCTGTAGACTCAAGCATCCAACAGATCTGGCTGTAGACTCAACTCAAGCATCCAACAGATCTGGCTGTAGACTCAACTCAAGCATCCAACAGATCTGGCTGTAGACTCAACTCAAGCATCCAACAGATCCGGCTGTAGACTCAAGCATCCAACAGATCTGGCTGTAGACTCAACTCAAGCATCCAACAGATCTGGCTGTAGACTAAACTCAAGCATCCAACAGATCTGGCTCTAGACTCAAGCATCCAACAGATCTGGCTGTAGACTCAACTCAAGCATCCAACAGATCTGGCTGTAGACTCAACTCAAGCATCCAACAGATCCGGCTGTAGACTCAAGCATCCAACAGATCTGGCTGTAGACTCAACTCAAGCATCCAACAGATCCGGCTGTAGACTCAAGCATCCAACAGATCTGGCTGTAGACTCAACTCAAGCATCCAACAGATCTGGCTGTAGACTCAACTCAAGCATCCAACAGATCTGGCTGTAGACTCAACTCAAGCATCCAACAGATCTGGCTGTAGACTCAACTCAAGCATCCAACAGATCTGGCTGTAGACTCAACTCAAGCATCCAACAGATCTGGCTGTAGACTCAACTCAAGCATCCAACAGATCTGGCTGTAGACTCAACTCAAGCATCCAACAGATCTGGCTGTAGACTCAACTCAAGCATCCAACAGATCTGGCTGTAGACTCAACTCAAGCATCCAACAGATCTGGTTGTAGACTCAACTCAAGCATCCAACAGATCTGGCTGTAGACTCAACTCAAGCATCCAACAGATCTGGCTGTAGACTCAACTCAAGCATCCAACAGATCTGGTTGTAGACTCAACTCAAGCATCCAACAGATCCGGCTGTAGACTCAAGCATCCAACAGATCTGGCTGTAGACTCAACTCAAGCATCCAACAGATCTGGCTGTAGACTCAACTCAAGCATCCAACAGATCTGGCTGTAGACTCAACTCAAGCATCCAACAGATCTGGCTGTAGACTCAAGCATCCAACAGATCTGGCTGTAGACTCAACTCAAGCATCCAACAGATCTGGCTGTAGACTCAACTCAAGCATCCAACAGATCTGGCTGTAGACTCAACTCAAGCATCCAACAGATCTGGCTGTAGACTCAACTCAAGCATCCAACAGATCTGGCTGTAGACTCAACTCAAGCATCCAACAGATCTGGCTGTAGACTCAAGCATCCAACAGATCTGGCTGTAGACTCAACTCAAGCATCCAACAGATCTGGCTGTAGACTCAAGCATCCAACAGATCTGGCTGTAGACTCAACTCAAGCATCCAACAGATCTGGCTGTAGACTCAAGCATCCAACAGATCTGGCTGTAGACTCAAGCATCCAACAGATCTGGCTGTAGACTCAACTCAAGCATCCAACAGATCTGGCTGTAGACTCAACTCAAGCATCCAACAGATCTGGCTGTAGACTCAACTCAAGCATCCAACAGATCTGGTTGTAGACTCAACTCAAGCATCCAACAGATCCGGCTGTAGACTCAAGCATCCAACAGATCTGGTTGTAGACTCAACTCAAGCATCCAACAGATCTGGCTGTAGACTCAACTCAAGCATCCAACAGATCTGGCTGTAGACTCAACTCAAGCATCCAACAGATCTGGCTGTAGACTCAACTCAAGCATCCAACAGATCTGGCTGTAGACTCAACTCAAGCATCCAACAGATCTGGCTGTAGACTCAACTCAAGCATCCAACAGATCTGGCTGTAGACTCAACTCAAGCATCCAACAGATCCGGCTGTAGACTCAAGCATCCAACAGATCTGGCTGTAGACTCAACTCAAGCATCCAACAGATCTGGCTGTAGACCCAAGCGTCTAACAAGCTGACAGTAGACCCAATAGACGATAGATCTAGACTTAAATACTTGTTGGTCTTTGAAAGGAAAGCTCGGCATTGTTCATGCAATTTAAATTGTAATACTATTTATCCTTGTGAAAAATGAATTAATTTTCAAATAAAATATTATTTTTCAGTTTAAATAATATCAACTTATCTAACAAAAATAAACGTGTAGATTTTTTCAAAATTAGTTTTTGGACATTTTTAGTTTCAGAAATTTATTTCCAGTAATTAAAAAATATTGTTGACAAAATTTACCACTGTTTAAACAATTCCTGTAATATTTCGTATCATTCTAAAGATATTATTTTTTCCATTAAGGTTTTTAAAAATTGAAATGTTGAAACGTTTTTAAATTGGTTACTATGATTTTTAAGATGTTTAAACTTTATTCTTTTTATTGCATTTTTTAATGTTTTCAAGTTATTTTTTAAAACAAATATTTAAAATTTCATTTCAATAAAGCATGTTATAGTTTTATCGAAACATTTCCACAAATTTTTAACAAAAATTTGAAAACCTGAGTGCTAGTAACTCAAAATATTTGTATTCTTTTATGTTAAAAGGTAAATCTTTTAAAATGCTCAATTAAAACAAAGTGTTCAGCGTTCCAATAAATTAACTAAAATCATGAATTAAAAAAGATGTACCTCTAGGAAAATTCACCTTAGTTTACGTTCAATGTTAAGTCAAATTGATTGGTTAACTTAATAGTACTGACGCCTATGTAGAATCTGAAGTTTAATTAATTGGGGTTTTATTGGGCAAGTTTAAATTTACGGGCTACGTTGACCTGTGTTTTAATTACACTTTTAAATAGACATCTTACTGGTTGTTGTCAAATTATGTCCAATCCATGTTTGTTAATTTAAAATGCGTGTTTTATATCCAATCCAAGTTTCTACTCAAAAATGCGTTTTACAAGCTTTTATTTAGTTCGCATCGTCTATTTGTGTGTGTTTGTTTGTTTGTGGGTTTGTGGCAAATCTTGTAACTCAATATCGACCCACTTCTAATGCAGTGATTTCGTTCTAATGTTTCAGATATATATATATATTTCACTTCGATGATTATACACGTATTTTTTAAATAATTTAATTAGATGCTTAATTAGTCATTAAAAATTACGCTTTGGTCGCTCGTGAGATCGTTTACCCAAAGCTGTTATGAAAGAAAACATATTAGTTTTATTATCTTATTTTCAGTGCATTTAAACGCTTGTTACAAAATATTTATTTTGCCTTTTAATAAATGTGTAAATTTTGATTTTCGTTTTGGTGATTATGTAAATATACTTTTCTATTTACTAATGTACTCATTTTAGGTCAGTTAGTTTATTACCTTTTCCGGCTAAATTGTAAAATTATATATAGGCCTATTCCTAATAGCTGATGAGAATTTTTTTTTTCGTTTAGGTAGATTCACATTTTACTTTTAGACAATAATTTTAGCAAACACAGTAAATTGTATTTAATTTAGTGTTACATGTGTACATTATTTTTTCTGCAGCTAGGTTAGCGTTTACATTTCTGCTAATGAAGTCACAAGTATAAACGAAATGTGTAGTTAAAAATGTAAAGTTCTGTCCTCTTTTAGCTTGTAAATTCATTCAATTCCTACATCACGTGTTTATAAAACGTCAGCTGGTTCTAACAAATGTTTTCTTTCATCAACCTGTGGCGAGAAATGAAAGCGAAACTAGCCATTTCCTGCGGATAAGTCCACTGTTGAAGCGTCGCTCCGAGCAGAACGCACACCACCGTGGTCCCGCTCACTGTGATAGCTCGCGAAACCTAGACTTGTGCTCACCAGCTTTCAAGCACTCACGTGCCTCCGTCTTGCTTGCTTAACCTCCCGGGTTTTAAATATGTTTTTTATACTTTTTAAATACTTTTTATTTGTTTACCTGACCGTCTATTATGTATTTTCTTGTTTACCTAGAAACGTGATAAAATAAGGTCGAGTTGAAATCAGACGCTGTAATCTTTCTTCACAGGAAATTATTTAATGCGCATGCGCTGAAGTTGTTTTTTTCTTGATTTCAATGGCTTGTTCGCTGGCGTGCGCCGTGTGTTGTTACCTTTCCGTGTGGTGAGTAGAAACCTACTTGTGACGGAATTCGTGTGAGTTCGGTGTGCTGGGAACGTGCTCGCTATGACATGTGTGCTGACGTCGACCTTGACCCGGGCGTGCTGTGCTTGTTGTGTGCTGCTGCTGGTGGGTACACATGTGCTGGGCAAGCACGAGCGGCCGGAGGTGCACAACAAGTCCCACTGCTCATCTTCAGCAGACGAGGAGGAGGAGAACGCTGATAGAGGTAATCAATGGGGTGTGAGGGGGGGGGGGGTAAAGTTTTAGATGTAGTGGGGAGGGGAGGGAGTACGTTTTAGATGAAGGGGTGTGAGGGGGGCACCTTTTAGATATAGGGGGATGAGGGGAGGAGGTACGTTTCAGATGTAGGGGTGTGAGGGGGAGGGGGTAGCTTTTAACTATGTGGGGGAGGGGGGAGATTTTAACTATATGGGGGTGAGGGGGTTAACCTTTAACTGTAGGTGGAGGGGGAGCTACAAGTCTATAGCTATAGATGGAGTAATGATATTAATAAAGAGGGAGAGAGGAGATATACACTTTTAGCTTTAAAGAAAAGAAGAGAGGTGTTAACTAAACATTGAGGGGGAGCAAGCATGCACACGGTGTGTTAGCTGTAGTGACGGTAGGAGGGTTAGCTTTCATTCAGTTGTACAGAGGGGTGGGTGAGGAGGAAATCTGGGTGTGTTAAAACTTGAGGGTGGGGGTAGTCTTGAAGTGGGTGGGGCATGTGTCAATCAAACCTTGACTGCGACGTTTTAATTTAATATATTGATTGATCAGGACCGTGTGTCCAATACCCACTGAACGTGAGTACATCTGTGCGCACACAGCTCACGTGTGCGCTAGGCTTTGTAGAAAAAAATTACCTGTGTAATAACACACGTGCTTTATTGATACGTCGATAACTACTCGTCCTTGTAATGTAAGTTCCATAGATTAACGTCCCTTGCCTCATTACATTAATAATGGGGAAAGCAGTAATAAGGGACAAAACTCTCCGACTAGTTACTAAAACAAATCACCTGGAGTAAAAAATCCATAAGATTGTGTATGACCTAATTCACGTCCATATCCCAGCTATTTCAAACAAAACAAAAAGTGTGATGGAAAAATGTACACGACTGTAGGGCGGTTATGACAATATGGGGGGGGGATAACTGGCTAAACCCCTGGTAGGTGGGGGTTGTTAGTCACCATTACCTTGCTTGGTGGTAGGTGGGTCGCTTAACCCCCTTGATGGTAGGGGGGTCACTTAACCCACTTGGTCGTAGGGGGGAAGGATCACTTAACCCACTTGGTGGTAGGGGGGAGGGGGTCACTTAACCCACTTGGTGGTAGGGGTTCCCCATTACTACATTTGGTGGGAATGGGTCAACACCTTTTAGCAGTAGCTACTTACAACTTTTGGTGGTTGGGAAGGGGGGAGGTGGTCTACAATACTGCATTTTGAAAGGGATGTTAACATTAAGTCCAAAAATTATCCAGGTTTATTGTGTACACTTTAATGACATCATATACATCAATGACATCAGACACATCATTGACATCAGACACATCATTGATGTCATTGACACAAGACAACATCATTGACATCATTGACATCAGATACATCAGTGACATCAGTGCTAGCAGTGGCAAGTGACACCACGGTTGAATCAAGCCGTACAAATGTTGATGAAATTAGTTGAGTGTACAGAAACTACGGCATTCAAAAAACTGCTTGACCTGACTTAGCAAACTTAGTTCCATCTGGGTACAGATTCCTAGAATGTGTAGTTCACTACATGGTGCAGGCAGACTGTAGGGAAATTGTACTATTCAGAATTGACTGTGGAGAAAAATACCTTCTAAATAATTCTGACAAATGTTGGTGCAATATTTTGGTGCATACTCTAACACTCTCTGCTGTAATATTCCTACTTTTTGCATATACTTCGAGAGAGCAATTTCCCTACTTGGTAGATATCCTGATGATCGCTAGAGTAATATTCCTACATGGTGCTTATTCTAATATTTGCTATAGTAATATTCCAACTTGGTGCGGACTGACAGATAGTAATTAAATTTAAGCTTGGGTTAGCAGGATGTATTGTTAAAACGTTTGCGCCTCTATACACATGATAATTAAAGCAACATAATAGCTTTTATTGATTTCTTTCTTTACGTTAAAAAAATCAATAATAATTTAAAAACAATAATTAAACAGCCCATCCTTATGCCGCACATTTGTGTTGAGTAAAATACTTTTTGTTTTACAAAACACATAAACATTTGGGTTGGTTCTGACTGGGTGTAGATTTGGCCCAGTTTCTGATGGCTAAAGATGGGGCCCTTTTCCGGATAAAGTGATTATAATATATGGCCAATTACTTCTAGTTATAAATGTGGGCAAATTTCCTTTGATCAAGTTTAGAGCAAATTCATATCTGGAGTAGATGTGGGGCTAATTGGTATAGATTTGGAACTAAAAACTACTCGGTTTAGATTGGGAGCTGATTCCTACTTGGCTAAAAATGGCTTTGAGTTAAATTCCTACTTAGTTAAATTGTGAGTATCGTTTCTACATGGTTTAAAAACAGGTTACATTCCTACTTGGTTTATATTTGAGTCATATTCTTTCTTTGTTTAGGTTTGATTAAAATTTATATTCGGTTAGATTTGTGTTTAATTCCTACTTTAAATTTTATTAAGTAAAGTATCAGTACAAGTATGAACCACTTTTCCCCCATAGAAATCCGTTCTTAGTTTAGATTTGGTCATAGTGATTTAAATTTTATCTTTCTACTTGGTAGCATTTCGTGTCAGTGTGGGTGTTATTTCCCCTGCTGTAGTGTAGCCCCCCCCCCCCTGTCCACATTTAACTATTCCCTTCCCTAGCGCCCGGGGGATGGGCTACACCCTGCTGATGTTAAACGGTGTTATTATTTGCCTGTCATCATCATGTTGGCCAATCGTCTGCCATCCTTTAATAATGGTGATGCTCCCTCTAAAGACAACTTTGCTTCTACTCTCTAAAGGAAGATAATTTTGCTTCTATTTCTGAAATAAAATAATTTTGATCCTTTTTTTCTAAGGAAAGAACCATATTTCTATTTTCTTTGGATATATAGCTATATTTTTTGAAGAAAGATAACTTAGTTTCCATCTTCTAGAGAAAGATAATTATGCTTCTATTTTCTAAACAGAGATAACTCTGCTTCTATTGCCGAAATATGCAAGATAATCATACACCTACGCCCTATACGAAGATATTTTTACCAACCAATAAACAAATAACTCGCTACTGAGTCCTTGTTACAGAACACTTACCTACGTCAAATCACCCAAAATATCACTCTAAATCAAGATATGTTACTCACCCCAACTCCCCAACGACGGATAACTCTCCACATCAACAGATAACTTACCCTAACTCACGACCGATAACTCAGCCCAACTCACGACCGATAACTCAGTCCAACTCACGACCGATAACTCAGTCCAACACACGACCGATAACTCAGTCCAACACACGACCGATAACTCAGTCCAACACACGACCGATAACTCAGTCCAACACAAGACCGATAATTCAACTCTCGACCGATAACTCAACTCACGACCGATAACTCAACTCACGACCGATAACCCAACTCACGACCGATAACTCAACTCACGACCGATAACTCAGCCTGTATACCACCAACTGTTCCAGTGAACAAGGAGAAGAGCCTCATCTTCGACCTGTTTGAGAAAGATGGCTACAACCCCTTGGTCCGGCCTGTCACAAATCCCAACGAAACCCTGGAAATTCGCTTCAGTCTGGCGCTCAGCCAGATCATCAGTGTGGTGAGTAGCCGGCTTTCTACATACTGGCAGTTACAGTTAGGCTGGGGTTAGTGCTGGGGTTAGTGCTGGGGTTAGTGCTAGAGTTAGGCTGGGGTTAGTGCTAGAGTTAGGCTGGGGTTAGTGCTGGGGTTAGTGCTGGGGTTAGTGCTGGGGTTAGTGCTAGAGTTAGGCTGGGGTTAGTGGTTAGAGTTAGGCTGGGGTTAGTGCTGGGGTTAGTGCTAGAGTTAGGCTGGGGTTAGTGCTGGGGTTAGTGCTGGGGTTAGTGCTGGAGTTAGTGCTGGGGTTAGTGCTGGGGTTAGTGCTGGGGTTAGTGCTGGGGTTAGTGCTAGAGTTAGGCTGGGGTTAGTGCTAGAGTTAGGCTGGGGTTAGTGCTGGGGTTAGTGCTGGGGTTAGTGCTGGGGTTAGTGCTGGGGTTAGTGCTAGAGTTAGTGCTGGGGTTAGTGCTAGAGTTAGGCTGGGGTTAGTGCTGGGGTTAGTGCTGGGGTTAGTTTTGAGTCAGCTCTTCATTCAAACACTCATTACCTGTGGGGATATAAATCGGTTAATCCACTGGATGGGAGGGATCTGTGATTGTGTGTGTGACAGGTAGTGGGAGACTGTTATAGTAAGAGTGAGACTGGTATAAAGGTAGAGTGAGACTGTTGTACAGGTAGAGTGAGACTGTTGTACAGGTAGAGTGAGACTGTTGTACAGGTAGAGTGAGGCTGTTGTACAGGTAGAGTGAGACTGTTGTACAGGTAGAGTGAGGCTGTTGTACAGGTAGAGTGAGACTGTTGTACAGGTAGAGTGAGACTGTTGTACAGGTAGAGTGAGACTGTTGTAGAGTGAGACTGTTGTACAGGTAGAGTGAGACTGTTGTACAGGTAGAGTGAAACTGTTGTACAGGTAGAGTGAGACTGTTGTAGAGTGAGACTGTTGTACAGGTAGAGTGAGACTGTTGTACAGGTAGAGTGAGACTGTTGTACAGGTAGAGTGAGACTGTTGTACAGGTAGAGTGAGACTGTTGTAGAGTGAGACTGTTGTACAGGTAGAGTGAGACTGTTGTACAGATAGAGTGAGGCTGTTGTACAGGTAGAGTGAGACTGTTGTACAGGTAGAGTGAGACTGTTGTACAGGTAGAGTGAGACTGTTGTACAGGTAGAGTGAGGCTGTTGTACAGGTAGAGTGAGACTGTTGTACAGGTAGAGTGAGACTGTTGTACAGGTAGAGTGAGACTGTTGTACAGGTAGAGTGAGGCTGTTGTACAGGTAGAGTGAGACTGTTGTACAGGTAGAGTGAGACTGTTGTAGAGTGAGACTGTTGTACAGGTAGAGTGAGACTGTTATACAGGTAGAGTGAGACTGTTGTACAGGTAGAGTGAGACTGTTGTACAGGTAGAGTGAGACTGTTGTACAGGTAGAGTGAGACTGTTGTACAGGTAGAGTGAGATTGTTGTAGAGTGAGACTGTTGTACAGGTAGAGTGAGACTGTTGTACAGGTAGAGTGAGACTGTTGTAGAGTGAGACTGTTGTACAGGTAGAGTGAGGCTGTTGTACAGGTAGAGTGAGGCTGTTGTACAGGTAAAGTGAGACTGTTGTACAGGTAGAGTGAGGCTGTTGTACAGGTAGAGTGAGGCTGTTGTACAGGTAGAGTGAGACTGTTGTACAGGTAGAGTGAGGCTGTTGTACAGGTAGAGTGAGACTGTTGTAGAGTGAGACTGTTGTACAGGTAGAGTGAGACTGTTGTACAGGTAGAGTGAGACTGTTGTAGAGTGAGACTGTTGTACAGGTAGAGTGAGGCTGTTGTACAGGTAGAGTGAGGCTGTTGTACAGGTAAAGTGAGACTGTTGTACAGGTAGAGTGAGGCTGTTGTACAGGTAGAGTGAGGCTGTTGTACAGGTAGAGTGAGGCTGTTGTACAGGTTAAGTGAGACTACAGGTGCCAGGGTGAGACTGTTGTACAGGTAGAGTGAGACTGTTGTACTGATAGAGTGAGACTGTTGTACTGATAGAGTGAGACTACAGGTGCCAGAGTGAGACTGTTTTACAGGTAGTTCCCAGAATGCATCTGCTGACGATATAAGTACCCAATTAGTGACGTCACGTGGTCTTATTTCAAGGGAAAGAAAACCGTTAATGCGGAACAAAATTTCTGATAACTTTTGTTAAAAATGTTGAGATAACTTTTATTTTTATTTGTTTGTTTTTTTTTTAATTATTTCTCAAAAATATTTTTTTAAATTAGCTAGACCCTGATATTACACAGGTATAATTTATCAATTAATCCAAATATATATATATATATATATATATATATATATATATATATATATATATATATATATAAAATCAGGCTAGGGCATTTACTATGCTGTATATTATCCTCTCCCGCTGGACAACATTAGCCAATATCTGTTGAAATAGTGGGGAACATTAGTCAGTATCTGTTGAAGTGGTGGGGAACATTAGTCAATATCTGTTGAAATGGTGGGGAACATTAGTCAGTATCTGCTGAAATGGTGGGGAACATTAGTCAATATCTGTTGAAATGGTGGGGAACATTAGTCAGTATTTGTTGAAATGGTGGGGAACATTAGTCAGTATCTGTTGAAATGGTGGGGAACATTAGTCAGTATCTGTTGAAATGGTGGGGAACATTAGTCAGTATCTGTTGAAATGGTGGGGAACATTAGTCAGTATCTGTTGAAATGGTGGGGAACATTAGTCAATATCTGTTGAAATGGTGGGGAACATTAGTCAATATCTGTTGAAATATTGGAGAACATTAGTCAATATCTGTTGAAAGACTGGGGAACATTAGTCAATATCTGTAGAAATAGTGGGGAACATTAGTCAATATCTGTTGAAATATTGGAGAACATTAGTCAATATCTGTAGAAATAGTGGGGAACATTAGTCAATATCTGTTGAAGTAGTGAGGAACATTAGTCAATATATGTTGAAGTAGTGAGGAACATTAGTCAATATCTGTTGAAGTAGTGAGGAACATGAGTCAATATCTGTTGAAGTAGTGAGGAACATTAGTCAATATCTGTTGAAGTAATGAGGAACATTAGTCAATATCTGTTGAAGTAGTGAGGAACATTAGTCAATATCTGTTGAAGTAGTGAGGAACATTAGTCAATATCTGTTGAAATGGTGGGGAACATTAGTCAATACCTGTTGAAATGGTGGGGAACATTAGCCAGTATCTGTTGAAATAGTGGGGAACATTAGTCAATATCTGTTGAAGTAGTGAGGAACATTAGTCAATATCTGTTGAAGTAGTGAGGAACATGAGTCAATATCTGTTGAAGTAGTGAGGAACATGAGTCAATATCTGTTGAAGTAGTGAGGAACATTAGTCAATATCTGTTGAAGTAATGAGGAACATTAGTCAATATCTGTTGAAGTAGTGAGGAACATTAGTCAATATCTGTTGAAGTAGTGAGGAACATTAGTCAATATCTGTTGAAATGGTGGGGAACATTAGCCAGTATCTGTTGAAATAGTGGGGAATATTAGTCAATATCTGTTGAAATGGTGGGGAACATTAGCCAGTATCTGTTGAAATAGTGGGGAACATTAGTCAATATCTGTTGAAAGTGGGGAACATTAGTCAATATCTGTTGAAATATTGGGGAACATTATCCGGTATCTGTTGAAATAGTACACATACATTAGCTGTCATTGATTTCCATTAAAGCCTCCCCATAATCCAGCGCTACCCCGATAACGTATGAAAACAATCGGGAATTTCCCGTAATGGCAGACTACTTTCGATTTCCTTGTCTTAACACAAGGAGCCGAGATGAAACGCGAGACGAGGAAGTTTTTTTTTCTCTCCCACACAGGACGAGGTCAATCAAGTGATGAAAACTAACGTCTGGCTCCAGGTTGTGAGTAAACATTTCATTCAAGTCTCCGCCATCTTGTCTTTTATTCTAATGGTGTTTCATAAACTGCTGATTGCATAGCTCCCAAAATCTCCAGTCCAGCACAATTCTAGAACAGTGGTCAGTCAGGTGGACAGAGGTCGTTGACCTGGTACCAGATATTTCTGAGCTGGCCAGCTTGTGTAGCTACATCCGTCCGTCTGTATCTTTTTCATAAAAAATATTTATTGTTAGACAAAAAAAAACTGTTATTGCATTAGCGGATCTATTTTTAGAAGATTCTACGATGTGGTGAGCAATCAGAATCATTCTAGTCACGTGACTTGAGTAGCCATGTTGTCTGCACGCGAAGTTTTTTTTTTAGTGCATCCTACAAGTGAATACAGTAATTGAAAAGTGTTTTTTGTCACTCCCCCCCCCCCCCCGACCCCCCACCCCCCTTCAAGTACTGGAACGACTACCAGATCCAGTGGGACCCGGAGAAATATGGGAACATCGGGTCCATCCGTATCAGCCCAGACAAAGTGTGGGTTCCAGACTTTGTTCTCTTCAACAAGTGAGTTGTTGGTTGTATGAGGGTGGGGGGGGGGGGGTAATAGAAATATTTATAACAAGTGAGTTGTTTGTTGTATGGGGGGTATAGAAAGTTTTATAGCAAGTGAGGTGTTGGTTGCATTGGCAGGTAAAGGGGGGTATAGAAAATTTTATGGTGGTTTTATCATCGTTTGTATGTGTGTGTTTATAGGAAGTTAATTGGTGGTTTTATAAGCAGTTGAGTTGGATGAATGGGGTATAGAGAGTGTGTTGGATTTTTTTTAATCAACCTTCAAAATAGTGGGTTTATAAAAAGTTAAATGAGTGCATGAGAGGTGAATTGTCTTAACATTATTCACAAATAAATCCGCGCTTATCTCAAACAACATCCTCTATAATTTAAATATATCCTCCATAACTTAAAAACCTCATCCATAATTTAAATATATCCTCCAAAATTTAAATATATCTCCCCACCTTTCAAGCCTTTCCCTAACATTTACAACTTGTAACCACATTTTTAAAATATCCCCGCACGGTTAACACCTCCCCATTATTCACAAATATCTCCCAAATCCCCCCCCCCCCCCTATTCCAGCGCTAACGGCAACTTTGAAGTGACCTACAAGTCTAACTGTGTCCTGTACAGCACTAGCGAGGTCCATTGGATCCCGCCCGCCATCTACCACAGTTCCTGCTCCATCGACGTCAAGTACTTCCCCTTCGACCAGCAGGTCTGCGAGATGAAGTTCGGCTCCTGGACCCACAAAGGCAAGGCCTTAAAGTACAGCTTCCACAAGAACCGGGACAAGCTTGACCTGGGCGACTACCTCAAGAGTGGCAGCTGGGACATCATCGACGGCCCGGGCAGGATCGAACCCATCAAAGACAACGTTACGGGGGAAGAACGTGAACAGATTATTTTCCAGTTCGTGTTGAGACGGAAAACTCTGTTCTACACGGTAAACGTCATCATTCCTTGTGTACTCATTTCATTCGTCACGGTCTGCGTGTTCGCACTTCCGGCTCACGGAGGACAGAAGATCACGTTGAGCATCTCCGTGCTGTTCGCGTTGGTCGTGTTTCTGTTGTTGGTCTCCAAAATCCTACCGCCATCTTTGACAATCCCGCTCATAGCCAAGTACCTCCTCTTCACCTTCATCATGAACGTCGTCGCAATTTTCTGCACCGTCATCATCATCAACCGGAACTGGATCAATCCTGGAACCCAAGACATGCCGCACTGGGTTCGGATCCTGTTCTTGCGGGAACTTCCCAAATACCTGCTCATGTCCAGACCTGACCATGAAAAAAGGTGGAAAGGTACTCTCGGTATACAGCACAGCCGGTTCCGGCCAGTGCCAGACGCACGGTGCATCAGTCTGGAAGCGTATGAGCTAGCGGCGACACAAAGCGCGGACGTACAAGGAAACTCAATAGAGTACCCTCAGGCTAGGAGACACGTGACCGAGAGGACTAACGGGAGTAGTTCGTGGGTCAAGCCTTTTGAGATGACGCCTGAGATTCACAGGACGGTAGAGGCAGTAGAGTTCATCTACCAGCATCTGAAGAAAGAGCAGGAGTATGTCATGGTGAGTAGCTGATGTCATTTTCACCATAAATGTCATGTAGACTAAACATGTCATGTAGACTAAACATGTCATGTTGTCAACAAATATCATGTGATTCATGTTCACCAAAAATGTCATGTAGACTAAACATGTCATATTGTCAACAAATATCATGTGGTGTCATGCTTACCTGATACAAAATATTTATTACTGGGGTCAGCTTGGACGTAGTCTCAACCCTAACAAGATTATGCCAGGTTTGGTCAAGTATGATGTCACAGTTGGCTTGCCATTATCCTAAACCAAAGCCCCCCATCCCCCCTCCTATGGACATTAAATTCCCATACTGTTCGCAACTACTCAACTACATGCACACATATTCCTTAACTTCTTAAAAGCAGTGTTTCTTCCAGATTTTTTCTCCGGGGGGGGGGGGGCACTTGAAATTTTCGGGGGGGGGCGGTAAACTTTCTTCGGGGGGGGGGGGGGGCGGACACTGTTACAATCAATATTTTCTATATAAATTATATAAATTTCATTTCGTTCGGGGGGGGGGGGGGTGGCGGTAAAAAAAATTCGGGGGGGGGGGGGGGCGAAGCCACCCCTGAAAAGATGCCTGGAAGAAACTCTTGAAAGTCTGTCGTGGAATTCACATTCCCTTTTATGTCTGTTTAAAACTTCAGAAAAGTATAGAAAAACCAACTTTTGGTTCAATCGAATTATGTTGGAAATGTTTTTATTTTGTCAATGTGGTGTTGCTCCATTCAAGCGTTAAACAATTAGCTATCGATTTAGTTAAAACATTCATTTAGGACGGGTAACCATCGGTGGATCCAGTTCAAAAATGTTGCATTCCGGCACATTGTTGTACCTCGGGCACATTCGTGTACCTCGGGCACATTGTTGTACCTCGGGCACATTCGTTGTACCTTTGGCACATTCGTTGTACCCAGGGCACATTCGTTGTACCTCGGGCACATTCGTTGTAACTCGGGCACATTCGTTGTACCTCGGGTACATTCGTTGTGTTGTACCTCGGGCACATTCGTTGTACCACGGTTCAATGTTGTGCAATGCAGACCCCGCTACCCAGAAGGGAGGGGAAGGGATGAGAGGTGATGGTGGTCCACAGATATTCGCCAATAAGGCTTGCAATAATGCAATAAATCATTCTGTAGCACCAACAAATCTAGGGCCTTATGCCACGTATCGGTATCTGTCCCCCTTACTCCCCCCTCCCTTCTAATACATCCCTACACCTGACAGGTTCCCAAACTGATAAACAGGTCGCCCCCCCCCCCCATCCCCACCCCCACCACATCATTTCCCTTCTCTAAGAAGACTTTGATAAAAAAATGTGTTCACATAATATAAAATAGACAATTTTTTTGTAAAAAAAAATAATCACTTTGTATTTTACAAAGTTTACACTAAAAGCTAGCAAAGTTAAGACTAAACTTTGATGCGAGGCTACACGTTAGAAGTTTAGACTAAACGTTCTTACTGCTGCTGTAGGGGTGGAGGGGTGGGGGGGGGGGGTTAATGGTTTAAGCCATCCATCTGTGAAGGTGAGTAAACGGTGAAGTCAAAGGTCAGAATTTGGTGGGTAAATACTGGGTGTGTACTCACTTTCGTACTGTGTGTATGGGGTGGGGGGGAAACATGCAGTACGGAGGGGAGGGCTGGGTGAGATATCTGGGGGGGGGAGTAGACAATGGGTATAAGAAGGACAAGATAATATGTGCGTGGTGTGGGTTGGGCGAGACTGTGAAGGGGGAGAGAGAGACCTGGTGTGTGGGGATGGGAAATACTGTGTGGGGTAGGGAGACCGTGTGTGGGGGATGGGCAAGACTGTGTGGGGTAGGCAGACCGTACGGGGGGGGGGGTAGTGGAAGACTGTGTGGGGTAAGGAGACCGTGTGTGGGGATGGGAAAGACTGTGTGGGGTGGCGAGACACCTGGTGTGTGGGGATGGGCATGACTGTGGGGGAGGGTACACACGGCGCATAAGAAGGTCAAGACACATTGTGTGAGGTGGGGGGTAAGCTTGATATGTTGTGTGAGGTGGGGATAACCTTGATATCTTGTGTGAGGTGGGGTAAGCTTGATTTCTTGTGCGGGGAGCAAAAGAAGGCGTGTAATAAGTAATGATAAGTGTTGTGTTATGGGTTATGGGTTATGGGATACGATGAATGTGTTTTAGATGGGTCAAGATATATTATGTGGTGGGGTATTCACTGTTCGTAGTCTTTACATTTATGGGTTGGATACCTACATCCGGAATAAGAGCGTTGCTCATTTGGAAGTTAGTGGGATACTAGCACTACAGAAATCATCCGAAACAACTAAAATATATTTACCAGATTAACTGTTTGGATATTTGTCATCTGTTGAATTTTTTCCACCCGTAATTTGAAAGATTGAGAACGTTTAAAAAACTTTAAAAACGCTTGGACTCATCCTGCCAATATGTTTTAAATTAATTATTAAAATCTGTGAGAAAACGGGAAAAAAACACGCGACTTTTTACCGTTACCTTGATTACAGCCTCAAGAAAAATCTTCCCTGGTATTAGCAATGTGTGTTTGTTTACACAGACTGATTAAATAAAAATGTCATGTTTACATATGTAAACATTAACACCAGCATTTAAATGTTGAAGTAATCTGAATAAACAGTGATTGGCTCAATGTTAATCAATTTTTTTTTTAAATTAAAAATTGTGCATTTAATGTTTAGCCTATTGTTAACAAATATGCCAGTAAGGTTGTATCATAACACGACTTAGACAAGGTGAACATACATGATCTGGTTAAAAGGGGATATTTGCTTTTAGAAAGTGGATAAGAAAAAAATTAAGAAAGCGTAAAGCCTATTAATTAAGAGCCTAGAATTGTATTTTATGATGCCATTTGTAATGTGGTTTACTCAAATATGTTTTACTGTGCGCTACTGTGTGCTGGATATCGACTAAAGTGGGCAGTGTACAATCTTTAGTAAATAGCTGCCTTAGTTCAATTTTAAATATAAAGTACTTTGATTAAGTATCTAACAAAACCGCGTTAAAACGAATGGACAAATTTAAATGGAATGAGGAATTCGGAAAATAAAGTGGAGAATGATAGGCTACACGTAGAGAGGACCGGCAACTAGTTTTTCCAGACAAGGTATTTCGTGGAATCCCAGAGGATCCAGAAAAAGGAGATACAAAAATACCAGGCGTGTGGTAATTTTAAAAAAGAAATGAACATGGGGGGGATAGCAAAGGACAGAAAAACATGGGAGGATGTTGTACATAGCCTTGTCTCCATTTGTGTTGTGAACTTCGAAGAAAAAAAAAAGTTCAATGTATTTAGATTATGTATAGGATGGAAGCCTAAATAGTAGCAGACTTGTACGCATTAAAGACGTGTATATTTGTGTACACAAATATATCGATACGGCATACATACACATATTTCAACACTACAATCCTACAATATTTATATTCAAACAGTGGCTACAATCTTAAAATAGTTATGCTTGTTCCAAAACTACAGTTATACTATTTCTTTTTTGAAAATTCTAAATTAAATTATTTGTGTGCTTAAGTTTGTATAAGGGCTACAATCTAAGAGCTATATCTAAAGATCTGCTCGCTTCAATCCTAGGATTATTTCTCTGCATGCTTCAATCCTAGGATTATTTCTCTGCGCGCTTCAATCCTAGAAATATTTCTCTGCATGCTTCAATCCTAGAAATATTTCTCTGCATGCTTCAATCCTAAAAATATTTCTCTGCATGCTTCAATCCTAGAACTATTTCTCTGCATGCTTCAATCCTAGAACTATTTCTCTGCATGCTTCAATCCTAGAACTATTTCTCTGCATGCTTCAATCCTAGAAATATTTCTCTGCATGCTTCAATCCTAGAAATATTTCTCTGCATGCTTCAATCCTAAAAATATTTCTCTGCATGCTTCAATCCTAGAAATATTTCTCTGCATGCTTCAATCCTAGAACTATTTCTCTGCATGCTTCAATCCTAGAAATATTTCTCTGCATGCTTCAATCCTAGAACTATTTCTCTGCATGCTTCAATCCTAGAACTATTTCTCTGCATGCTTCAATCCTAGAAATATTTCTCTGCATGCTTCAATCCTAGAAATATTTCTCTGCATGCTTCAATCCTAGAAATATTTCTCTGCATGCTTCAATCCTAGAACTATTTCTCTGCATGCTTCAATCCTAGAACTATTTCTCTGCATGCTTCAATCCTAGAACTATTTCTCTGCATGCTTCAATCCTAGAAATATTTCTCTGCATGCTTCAATCCTAGAACTATTTCTCTGCATGCTTCAATCCTAGAAATATTTCTCTGCATGCTTCAATCTGTAAACTGTTCCAATCTTCTCATTACCGGGTCTCCGTTTACCCAAACGAGGGCAAGACGTCATCCATCTTTGTCACGTGATTTGTGTAAGCTCAAAATACCCTGGCCCATGAGATTTTAGTCGAGATAATTAACAGTTTAACCCTACCCACAGCAGCCGGGGTGAGCCTCATGTTGAGCTGTCAGAGCCGGTTAAACCCTAACTCGATGCCGGTGATAGTGGCCGTGTATTAGCCGGGTCCGGTTGACAGATGCATGTTTGATGTATGGAGGGGAGAGCGATGATGGCCCAGCTCGTTCATCATACGTCAGATGACTGGTCAGACAGGTCACGTGACTCGTGCAGCCAATGTGCTGCTAAATGTGCATCACATTTCTGACTCTAGATATCTCTAGGAACTAATGGCACCCAGCCCTTTCCCACCCACCATTGTAAAACATGTAACTAAACGGTATAACTAATTTTAGAAAAATTATTAAAGAACTTTCATACACAAACTAAACAAAAATAAAATTATTTTAAATAAACATTACAATATTTTGTGTGTTTTTGATAGATATGCTTATTTTTTTTAAAGGGGGGGGGGGTGAAAAATGTGTTGAGAGTTTGTTTTATTCAAAATTCAAAAAATAATAAACTAGTATATTTTTTAATATACACTAAACACTGTTAAAATACTTAGTTCATCAGCTGTATAAAGTTTCAACATTCGAACAGAAGTTTGAAAACAAAATTCTCTTCAAATAATTTCAACGTCTACAGTCTAATCTGTGAGCCAGTTCGCTTAAAATGTCCGAAATTTTTTTCAGGCTTAATTAAAACTGGATCTTCGTTATTTTAATTAAGTGATCGTTATCACGATACAGGAGAGTCTCTGTTGTGTTGCATGTTTGTTGAGGACATGTCTTCTTTAGCGCTCATGTGTGATGTGGGTGGGGGGGGGGGTAGTGGGGAGATGGTGTGGGTACTGGTGTCATTTGCACGAGTTAGATGGTAAAGGTCTGTGTGAGTACTTGTGGCATTGGCAAGGTTTCGGTAGTAAATGTGCGAGTGAGTACTTGTAGCATTGTAAACATTTTGGTGGGTAATGTTATGAGTGGGTACCAGTGCCATTGGGATGATATAGTCGAAAACTTTGTTTATATTTTTACCAGATAGTAAAATATCTTTGTTTTTTGACATCAATTGATTGAATGTTTCAGATAGTAAAATATATTTGGTGATGACATCACATGATTTTATGTTTCAGATAGTAAAATATCTGTGATATCACATCACTTAAATGTATAGTTCAGATAGTAAAATATCTGTGGTGTTAACATCACGTGACTGTATGTTTCAGATAGTAAAATATCTGTGGTGTTAACATCACGTGACTGTATGTTTCAGATAGTAAAATATCTGTGGTGTTAACATCACGTGACTGTATGTTTCAGATAGTAAAATATCTGTTGTGTTAACATCACGTGACTGTATGTTTCAGATCCTGGAGGACTGGAAGTATGTGGCGCGGGTGCTAGACAGGCTCCTGCTGATCATCTTTCTGGCCATCACGCTGTCTGGTACCGTGGGGATCCTGATGAACGCCCCCCACATCCTGGAGTTCGTCGACCAGGACAAGATCATCAACGAAATCGCTGACTATATAGCCAAGGCTGAAGTAGCCTGATCTGTCGTGCTGCAGGATAAACGTTAGATGACAGACGAAGGACGCACATGCCGCATGCCGGATAAAAAATAGAGAAAACTGATCCGAAGTTGCATGGGTAAGCGGCAGTTTTGTCAGAGGGCTGGAGAATTGTTCTTCTATTGGCTGTGTTAGGACAGGTGCCAGATTTGACGTCACACAGTCACGTGACGTGATGTGAGCCTTGGTCAACAGGTCTGAGGTCAACAGGGCTAAGGTCAACAGGTCTAAGGTCAAGCGATCTAAGGTCAAGAGATCTGAGACCAATAGATCTGATTTCAATAGAAACGGGTTGAAATACATCAACAGATATGAGCTCAATAGATTAATTTATTTGAGGTCATTACTTGAATGTGGATACCTTGCATACTAATAAAACTTCCCTTGGTTTTATGTATAAATACATTAGAATGTGTTAAAGCTATATGTTAAATTTTTTAACTTGTACGTGCCATTTGTATTTATCACTTTAATGTACTTGTATTTACTAATTAGCTAACGCTTATTCTTACATCATTAACCGATCGGTCTGAAAAACGAACGAATGATACATTTGTGTAATGTCATTTTTTTTTAAAAAAAACTTGTTGAAATGTTCAACCACTTCATGCCCCCTCTCCACACACACACACACACACACACACACACACACACACACAAACATACACACGCACACACGATGAACACTGTGTAAACAAATGAGTTACCTCACCTGTAAAACTTCCCCTACTTTCGCACAGACCATCCGACAGGTGAGTCTTGTCGGCGAACTGCTCAAACCCTTGGCCTCATTTTTCTCGAAACTTGTGAAAAACGACGCGAAACTTGACTTAGAAATTAGATTCAGCAGTTGAACCGTATGTTAAGTGGAATGAATTTGTCAAGTTAACTTCCACTGGGTAATAAAGTTTATTTATTAGGTGCCGGGAAAAGCGGCGAAACTTTAGATAAACAATAATGTTATTCACCCATCTCCGTTGGCGCAATCTAGCCTACTTCTAAATGCATAGAGGACTTCGATTTTTCTTTCACTAGCTGGCATGCGCCCCTCCTCCCCCCCTTCCTCTCCTCCCCCCTCCTCAAATTATTCATCCTCACTCCGTTACTCATTTTTCACCCAGGCCGCAAATAAAGGAAATAAAGCATAAGAAATAGAGGGCGCAAATCTCGCTGTCAAATTTATCATCCTCTGTCGGTCTATCCGATGTTTCTCCTTGTAAGACGACGCGTCCTTTACGGGGGCGGCGGGCTTGTATGGGTCAGTTGGTTGGCGTAGGTCACTGTTGGGTTGGGTTAGGTCATTTATAGGTTGACTTAAGTCATTTTGCTGACTTAGGTGACTGACGGTTTGGCTTAGGTCATTGATGAGTTGACTTAGGTCATTAAACGATTAGCTTAGGTCATTGATGGGTTGACTTAGGTCATTAAACGATTATCTTAGGTCATCGATGGTTTGACTTAGGTCATTTATGGATGGGCTTTGGTCATATATGGGTCAACTAAGGTCATGTATGGGTCAACTAAGGTCATGTATGGGTCAACTAAGGTCATTTATGGGTTGACAGGTTACAAATTGATTGGATTAGGTCTCTGCGAGATGACCTGGATCCCAGACAGCCAGGTGGGCTGTCGTAGCTAACACCTGAATGTGGGGTAACGAGAAGATTCTAGAAACACGGCAAGTTTGGCTTCACACAGTGTTTAATCTATTAGACATCACGACATGACAATTCCAACAAGTAGCGTAGAAAAATTGTCCTGCTGTCTACAACTTTATTATTCAGGTTAACTGCTGGACAATGACCAGACAGTATGTAGTAAAATTACTAGGTTATTTGACCAATGACCAAGATGTTTAACAACAATGACCAGGTTAAGTGCTGTAAAATGACCAGGATATTTGACGGCCAATGACCAATCTACCTTCTGTAAAATGACCAGGATATTTGACGGCCAATGACCAAGCCACCTTCTGTAAATGACCAGGATATTTGACGGCCAATGACCAAGCCACCTTCTGTAAAATGACCAGGATATTTGACGGCCAATGACCAAGCCACCTTCTGTAAAATGACCAGGATATTTGACGGCCAATGACCAAGCTACCTTCTATAAAATGACCAGGTTAAGCGCTGTAAACTGACCAGGTATCACATCATGTCAAACCGAACAGTGTCGCGAGGCTATTCCGTTGATTGAACCAGAAAACACAAAGACGACCCTAACTCATTACCCCACGACATTAAAACGCCTGACCCCCCCCTCCTCAGTCGAGTCTGTCAAACAACTCGCACTAATACATCTAATTGATTTAACACAAGCTACAAACATACAACTCCCAAATCCTAATCTAATAACTAATTTACTGAAAGCGTTTTTCTTTTTACAAGCTTTTATTTAACTCACTTCCTCTGTCTGTCGTCAGTCGTCAGTCTAGACGGAAACGCAGGAGTGAAAATTCGGACAGTTCTACTTGACCGACACGATTCACAGTTGGCACGTGGGTCAAGACATGAAGACAATGCAATCTGAAACTAAATTTGACTTAATTGGATGCCTAATTGATTTTTTATGAATTAATTAAAATTTGGACCGAATTAGTAGGCATGTCTAGCCAACCACACCACACGCGTCATCAATAGCTGCGCCATCACGACCACGTAATGGCTGCGTTCAAAAACCATTGCGCGCCTACTGAACGTGATATTCAGTAGGCGCGCAATGGTTTTTAGTCATGTAACTCTATTGTAAATAAAACATGTAAAGTACTGAAAAAAAAATCATAAAAAACGTTTTAATAACAAGCTTTTATGTAATGATGCACTAAAAAGTAGAAAATAAATTATAGACTACTATTTAAATAACTATAAAGAAAAGCGTGGGTGTCTTCCTTAACATTAGTAAAGGTATCCAATAGATACTAAAGTGACCCACGCTTTTCTTTATAGTTATTTAAATAGTAGTCTATAATTTATTTTCTACTTTTTAGTGCATCATTACATAAAAGCTTGTTATTAAAACGTTTTTTATGATTTTTTTTATCTTTTTTATTTCATACTGGAACTTGTGGAAACTCCGGGGTATGTCATTTATTTTAAGTGCAATAAAATCACCAAATCAAACTCTTGACATATTGAATTTTTTTTTTTTGCGTGTTTGTTTTTGCTTTTATTTCACTAATCTAACAGCGTGGTTGAGGACGTTTGGAGTTCAGAATTTGGATTTCTAGTCAAGTAAGTTAAGACGACAAGTCGATAGCAAACTGCCTTCATTTGATGCCGGCTTTTTACCGGTCGATCAGGAAACCGGTCGACCGGTTGGACTGCTGTGAGTATTCAAGGGACCTCACAAACATGGAGTGCATAATTATCTGCTCATTAATTAACTTCCACGTTACGACGTAAACAGTAACAAAGCAATCGGATAACGAGAGTCCAACAACATCAAAGCGGTTGATGTAAATTAGCCAACGACCTTGACATTAGAATGTTTGTAAAACGATTTGGGTAGGGATACACCGAGGCTATGTATTTGTTAGTACATTATTTGTACCCGCTCCATAAAACTAACCCAAACACTAAACACTAGCCTTACAGAGACACGACAATTACTTGATAAAACACAATATTACCTAGCCTGCGTTAAAAACTAAAAATATATTCGGATCTAGATAAAGTGCTGTTAGACATACAGTAAACCAATTAATTTATCACGGCAATTTAATCAATACCTTCAGACATCGCTATTTAAATTGTACAAGCTTTTAAAATTTCCTAATCGATGTACATTTAACTTAATTATTTAATCGATAACCATTTTAATTATATGCTCATCAAGGAAAGGTCTTACGTTCTATCGAGCTAAGTCTGACCTTCCAACCCATAAGATGATCAGACCTTCTATCTAGCGAGGTCTGACCTACCAAATCATAAGATGACCAGACCTTCCATAGAGCAAGGTCTGACCTTCTAAACCATAACATAACCAGACCTATTGAGCAAGGTCTGACCTTCTAAACCATAACATGACCAGACATATCAAGCGAGGTCTGACCTAAACCATAACATGACCAGACCTATTGAGCGAGGTCTGACCTTCTAAACCATAACATGACCAGACCTATTGAGCAAGGTCTGACCTTCTAAACCATAACATGACCAGACCTATCAAGCGAGGTCTGACCTTCTAAACCATAACATGACCAGACCTATTGAGCGAGGTCTGACCTTCTAAACCATAACATGACCAGACCTATTGAGCGAGGTCTGACCTTCTAAACCATAACATGACCAGACCTATTGAGCGAGGTCTGACCTTCTAAACCATAACATGACCAGACCTATCAAGCGAGGTCTGACCTAAACCATAACATGACCAGACCTATTGAGCGAGGTCTGACCTTCTAAACCATAACATGACCAGACCTATTGAGCGAGGTCTGACCTTCTAAACCATAACATGACCAGACCTATTGAGTGAGGTCTAACCTTCTAAACCATAACATGACCAGACCTATTGAGCAAGGTCTGACCTTCTAAACCACAAGACGACGAGACCTTCCATCAATCCACAAGCACGTCCGACAGGTCACCGAAGCGTGTAGATGTGACGTTGATGACACGTGTGTAAAAAACAAGAGCCTTCCCCGTGAGCGGAGATTGCTCATACGCCCATACACTCAAATCATCCAGCCGGAGAGTGCTATAGGATCTGAGAGAGATCTTGACACGTTAGATCATTCGGATGATGGAAGGGGTCAGAAGGGGTCGGGTGGGGTCGGGTGGGGTCTGTTCCAGTTTATAAACAAAAATGTACGGCATCGGATAAAGATGTAAGAATCAGCCAACATGCGGAAATAGAAGTGTTCTGACAGGAAAAATTACTGAGGTCTGGTGAGTTTAAATTTAAGAAATAATCTGCCAACACATAAGTCGGTGTGTATGACACATCTTACATAAATAATTTGACAACACATAAGTCAATGTGTATAACACATCTTACAGAAATAATATGATAACACATAAGTCAATGTGTATAACACATCTTACAAAAATAATCTTATAACACATAAGTCAGTGTGTAAGACACATCTTACAGAAAACAGTGAGACAGTGGTCTAAGTGTGTGACTCTTGTTATATACTATAAAATACTGAATTCTTATATGTTTTTAAAGAATGAAAAATGTAAGGCTATCTCTAGCGGACCAAACCTGATTCTGTTATATTATAGGAACGGAACTAAATGGCACAGGGTGTTTTAGTTTCGTCATGTTTCAAGGTCAAGACGAGTTATGATGTCAAGGCCAGTTGGAATGATGGTGTCAAGGTCAGATCGAGTAATGGTGTCAAGGTCAGATCAAGTGATTATATTCAGGTATACCAATAAGCAGCAAGGACCATTTTCTACCACTTAAATCAAACTGATCAAATCTAAAGTGTTTGATCAAAATCGATGCATAACGTATAGGTCTTTCTGTGTATGTTTATCTATTCATTTAAATCGAAAAAATAATTGAATGTCGTTATTTTTATTTTTTATTTTTATTTTTTTTGTGAGGACATGCTGAATTTAAAAACAGACAGGTCAATAGAAAGGTAAACAGTGTGTGTCACGAGCCTGCAAGTCACCTAGCCTACACAAAGTCAAACCTTTGTCAAAAATCTTGACAATAGTTTGTGTAAAAATAGTATTTTTAAATGTGTACGAACATGGGCATGAATATTCTTACAAAACATGCGTACACAGCATGCGTACAAATAATATTTACAAAACACGTGTACGAAACATGTGTTTAAAACATGCGTACACAGGATGCTTAAAAAACACGTCTATAAAACATGTGTACAAACTTGTGTTGGTACCAGTCACTCCTTGTAAAGAGCAAAGCCTATTTCTAGAGTCCTTGTCTGGTGCCTGTAACACGAACCATCTCAAGGCAATGTCGATAACTTTCTTATCATTATTATAACTTCCTGTAGTACCAGAAATCTGGTTATTGGGTCTGTCTAGAAAAATCTTCCTCTGGTGGAGCTGTAATACCCCCACCCCAGCACCCCTCCACCTCCATTCAACAAAATCTGGGTTCCTTATGTCCCTGCTTGCGCCATTGTTTGCGGCGAACTTTTACTTTCTCAACACCCCTCCCTCAGCACCCCTCCCTCAGCACCCCTCTCAACACCTCTCTCTCAACAACCCTCTCTCTACACCCCACCACCCCAACACCAAGATGAAGAACCGAAAATCAACCGTTACCGATGATTGATTTTACCCCCCCCCCCCCCTTTTCGTTCCCCCCTCATGAAAGCTGATGCAACCCACTTGTCGAAATGCATCATTGTTGGAGGATCATTACAGCAGTCCCAGACACGCTTTCATCATTACAGCAGTCCCAGACACGCTTTCATCATTACAGCAGTCCCAGACACGCTTTCATCATTACAGCAGTCCCAGACACGCTTTCATCATTACATCAGTCCCAGACACGCTTTCATCATTACATCAGTCCCAGACACGCTTTCATCATTACAGCAGTCCCAGACACGCTTTCATCATTACAGCAGTCCCAGACACGCTTTCATCATTACATCAGTCCCAGACACGCTTTCATCATTACAGCAGTCCCAGACACGCTTTCATCATTATAGACAGTCTACGAGATCTCCCTCGCGGGAAGGGCAAGGGACTTTTTTTTTCCCTTGACCTTGACCTAAATATATATATTTGTTTATAGAATAATGATATCCCCCTCCAGCATTGTAAGTTGGACCAGGTTCTGTTTACATTTACATTCTTCTCCCCCCCCCCCTTACTTCTTTCCACAACTTCCACCCTGTCAAAGTTACAGTGACCGCAGTAAATGTGAGCATGTACTGGTCTAATGTCTGCTGGACATACATTTGAGCACATACTGGTCACATGCCTACCGGACTTAGATGTGAGGAATACGATGCCCACTTTAGGGAGGTACTAAATCTTTATCTGCGGTCGATGGAGTGCCAGAGTCTAGCGCTTTATGATATTGCTTGCCCATGTTGATACAGACACCACTGGATATCTATCACAATGTTTACAGTGGTCCCTCAGTCTCTTTCAATGTTTTCAGAGGTCCCTCAGTCTCTTTCAATGTTTTCAGAGGTCCCTCAGTCTCTTTCAATGTTTACAGAGGTCCTTCAGTCTCTTTCAATGTTAACAAAGGTACCTCAGTCTGTTTCAATGTTTACTGAGGTACCACATTCTCGAGTAATGTTAACAGAGGTCCCTCAGTCTGTTTCAATGTTTACAGTGGTCCCTCAGTCTCTTTCAATGTTTACAGAGGTCCCTCAGTCTTTTTGAATAATTACTGAGGTACCACATTCTCGAGTAATGTTAACAGAGGTCCCTCAGTCTGTTTCAATGTTTACAGTGGTCCCTCAGTCTCTTTCAATGTTTACAGAGGTCCCTCAGTCTCTTTTAATATTTACTGAGGTACCACATTCTCGTGTAATGTTTACTGAGGTACCACATTCTCGTGTAATGTTTACTGAGGTACCACATTCTCGTGTAATGTTAACAGAGGTTGTACATTCTGTCTCTCGAAATATCTATAGGGGCACCAGTTTTCTGTCTGCCTCTATATTTATAGCAGTACCACTGTCTGTCTGCCTCTATATTCATAGCAGTACCACTGTCTGTCTGCCTCTATATTTATAGCAGTACCACTGTCTGTCTGCCTCTATATTTATAGCAGTACCACTGTCTGTCTGCCTCTATATTTATAGC